CTGGGAAGACTTGTCACCCACTTTTGTCTCAGAGTTCACAGTGCTCACTTTTACTGTCGTGATGATGTTTGCACACATGCTGGGGGGTGGGGGGGCACACAGCGGAACCACCAGGACCTGGTCCGGCACATGTGGGGGTAACCAGGAATCCCACTCAAGGCCTCTCACTTCCAAGGTGACGGCTTGAGCCCCAGAGCTGTTCCCAGGGGTCCCCCTAGAGTTTTTCTGTGTGCATAATAGAAGTGTAGCTTGTACTACAACATTTTTTTCTTTCCTTTTCCTTTTTTATTTTTTTATTCTTTTTGGGTCACACCCGGCGATGCACAGGGGTTCCTCCTGGCTCTGCACTCAGGAATTACTCCTGGCGGTGCTCGGGGGACCATATGGGATGCTGGGACTCGAACCCAGGTCAGCCGTGTGCAAGGCAAATGCCTTCCTCCCTGTGCTATGGCTCCAGCCCCTGCACTGTAACTTAACAAGACGCTTTGGACAGTTTTTCTTAGGAATTCACTTAAACTTGAGCTCATTGATGAACCCCAGGAAATTTGTGGTGTTTATCAGCCCCATAGCTTTCTCGAACTCGTGTTGATAAGCACTCAGGCTATTCCCACGCCGGAACAACACTGCTACAAGCCCAGTTTCCTGGAAGCAAAAGTACCGGGCAAGAGATTTGCCCTTTGACAATTTTAATAGAGTTGGTGAAAGAATCCTCAAAAGAGCCGAATTCACACACACACCCCGCTCCCCCCCACCCCCAAGGATTGTTTCTTTAAAAGGGCTAATTTCTCTTTGGGGAAAGTCTCGCTCTTTCCATTTTGTCGAGATAATGAATACGAAAGCTCTCTCTCTGGCTCGGAGGTTTTTCTTTCCCTGATGAGGAGGGAAGCCAATGTTGTTTATATGCTCACCAGCCTCTCCCTCCCGCTCGGGCAGAACCGGGAAATGTCCTCTGTCCCTTGGTCTGACACGCTCTTTGTCGTTTGCACATTAATATGACTTGTTAGCAATTGGTTCCATATATTGGAAATATTCTGGCAGATTTCCCGTAGCTGTTCTCTTTAGCATGGGTTTCGTTCGTTTGTTCGTTTGTTTAAGGCTAGAGCGATAGCACAGCGGGTAGGGCGTTTGCCTTGCGCGCAGCCAGCCTGGTCAAGCCAGGTTCGATTCTTCCGCCCCTCTCAGAGAGTCCAGCAAGCTACTGAGAGTATCTCGCCCGCAAGGCAAAGACTGGCAAGCTCCCCGTGACGTATTCAATATGCCAAACACAGTAACAACAAGTTCTCACGATGGAGACCTTACTGGGCCCACTCGAGAAAATCGATGAATAACGGGAGGACTGTGACCGTGACAGTTTTTTTGTTTTTTGGGGGGGGCACCCCAGCAATGCTCAGGGGTTACTTCTGACTCTGCATTCAGGAATCACTCCTGGATATACTCAGGGGACCCTATGGGAGGCTGGGAATCGAACCCGGGTCGGCCGCATGCTAGCCCCTCACTTTGGACTTTCACGGCTTTGCTTCACCTGGAGTTTGGAAGGAGGGGTCCTACGTAACAATCCAGCTTCGAAACTCAGCAGCCAACAGTCTTGACATCGCTGTTGGTACCATGACAATTCCCAGATTCCTGCTGTGTGTCTTTCCTTGCTGTGCTCAGTCCAGCGATCTGCTCCCCTGGTCCTGGAACCTTACAGAGCCAGTCACTCATCTTTGATTCGTTCTCACTGGGCAACCATTGGCCAAGCCCCATCAAAAAGATCCTTTATGGGGGAGGGCTGGAGCGATAGCATAGCGGGGAGGGCATCTGCCTTGCATGCAGCCTGCCCCAGGTTTAATTCCCAGCATCCCATAGGGTCCCCTGAGCACCGCCAGGAGTAATTCCTGAGTGCATGAGCCAGGAGGAACCCCTGAGCATCACTGGGTGCCATCCAAAATGAAGGCGGGGGGAGGATCCTTTGGGGAGTTGGCAGAATTGTGATGAGTGGGAAGATGTTTCTGCTTCCTTCTTTCTCCTTCTCCTGACTTTTCCCCCAACCTGCCCCCTCCCACTCTATGGCCCATGTTTTCCCCCATTTCTTCTCACTCCATCCACATAACACATCATCATCACTTACACTTCTTGTCCACCCCTGGGTACCATCAAAGGCTAAGCATCCGAACACCACCAGGTCCTCAGCAGATTTTGCCGTCTTCCCTGATGTTCTCCGGAGCTGGCAGCGACCTCCTCTCCCAGCTCACGGGAGCCCTCAAAGCTGCATGTGAAACGCGTCAGCCCTCACGGGGGGGTCTGGCGTTAGCATCCCGGACCCTCTCCTCCTCCTTCTCTAGCATCTGTGGGTTCTCTGCTCACCCCGGCTATAGCTCACCACCTTCAGTCTCTCCCCTCTGGGACTCAACCCCTGGAACATCTCCTAAAGTCATTTCTTTGACTTTTTTTTTTAATTTTTATTAGTGAAACACCAAGAGGTACAGTTGTAGACTTACAACTTTTTTGTGCTTGGGTTTCAGTTGTACAATGATCGAGTACCCATCCCTCCACCAGTGCCCATTCTCCACCACCACTGATCCCAGTACCCCTCCCACCCCCCATGCCCCACTCCCACCCTGCCTCTGTGGCAGGGCATTCCCTTTTGTTCTCTCTCTCCTTTTGGGTGCTGAGGTTTGCAAAAGAGGCATTGAGTGGCAATCATGTTCGGTCTGTAGTCTACTTTCAGCATGCTTCTCCCATCCTGGGAGGATCCTCCCAACATCCTTTATTTGGTGCTCCCTTCTCTAAGCTGCCTTTTCCCCCAGCATGTGCGGCTGGCCTCCATCTTTTTTTCTTTTTTTTAAGAATTTTTGGAATGTCTTCTCTGTCCTGATGTGTTCACAACTTCTAAGAAAGCTTGACGTTTTTGCTTTTTGGTTTTTGTTTTTTGGGTCACATCTGGCGATGCACAGCGGTTACTCCTGGCTCAGGCACTCAGGAATTCCTCCTGGTGGTGCTTGGGGGACCCTATGGGATGCTGGGAATCGAACCCAGGTCGACTGCGTGCAAGGCAAAAGCCCTACCCGCTGTGCTATCACTCCAGCCCAGAAGCTTGACTTTTGACATGCCATGATGCTTGGTTTAGACCTCTGAGTCGAGTGTTTTTCCGACTTCGCTCTCTAACTAGCATTTGCTGTTCCTTGGGGTGGGGGAACTTATGCTGTTCTGGTTCCATTCCGATGGTCTAGGACTAGAGAAACGGGACAGAGGCAGGGTGCTTCCCTTGTAAGGGCTGACCGTGGAGTGATCGGCACAACACGGGCTGCCCCAGGCGCTGCCTAATCTCTGAGAACCACTGTGTGTGGCCAAAAGGAAAAAAAAAAAAAGAAGAAAGAAAATCACCTTGTTTGTTCCCTTTTATTCTTGGATGAGTGAAAGTTCTGCTACTGCTAAAGAGAAATGAATCACGCCCTTTGCTCAGCGGACTGTCTCTTTTGTGGGGCTGGGAGACATTTCCTCTGTTTTCAATTGTATCAAATGTATCAGATGAAAAGATCCCCTTGTAACAATGACTTTCGCTGGAGAGACCCACTTTCCCCTCAAGGAAGGCGGCTAGAGGCAGGGTCTCTGAGGTCCTGATGTCCTACGCTGAGGAAAGGGATTCAGATCCTTCTCTTGCTGTTGTACATGACTTCCGTTCTCAAGGGCCCAAAACAGCTGCTGCAGCTCCAGCCATCATTTATCAGTTGCAGGTTAGAAAAAAAAGAGGAAAGGCAGCAGGGCAGAGAGATAGCTTCGGGGTTATGGTGCATGTCTGGCATGCAACCATTCCTGGTCCAATTCCCAGCAGTACAGAGTCCTCCAAGCTGCACAAGGTGCAGTCCTGGGGGCCCCAGAACTCACCAGCAGGGTCTGGGTAATGCCCAACACCACGGGGCCCAAGCACCGTGTCTTTAGGAACTTGCACGGAACTGCCAGCCTGGTGGGTGAATCGCAGGGAGGGGGGCTTCCGGGCTTCCTGGGTGATATTTGGAAGGTGGGAAGAAGGAGGGGAGGAAGGGAGGAGAGGAGGGAGGGGGAGACTGTGAATGTGTGTATGAAGTGTGACTGTGTCAGTGTGTGGAGTGTGTGTGTTTGTGCACATGTGTGAGTGTACACATGTATGTGCATGTGTATGAGTGTGTGCATATGTATGCATGTGTGTGAGTGTATACATGTGTCTGTCCTCATGTGTGTGCATGTGAGCATGTCTGTGTGTGCGTGCCCGTGTGAGTGTGCGCGCATGTGTAGGGTGAGTGTGTACATGCATGAATGTGTGCATGTGCGTACATACATGTGTGTGCATGTGTGTTTGTGTGTGAATGTATGTACACATGTGTGTGAGTGTGTGCATGTGTGTGGTGAGTGTGTACACGCGTGAATGTGTGCGTGTGTGTACATGCGTGTGTGTACATGCATGTGTGTGCTTGTTTGTACGTGTGAATGTGTATACACATATGTGAGTGTGTGCGTGTGTGTGGTGTGTACACGCGCGAATGTGTGTGCATGTGTGAATGTGTGTACATGCATGTGTGTGAATTTGTGCATGTGTGAGTGTGTGTGCATGTGTGTACCTGTGTGTGTCCACACAGCATCTGCCCTTATACTCTGCAGGTACTTCCCAGGGCCTGGAAGTGCAAAGCGGAACCCCAGCTGCGGCTGTGAAGAAAAGGGAAGTGAGAGGGGGGTGGGAGGCTGCGCCCGGGGCCGTGTGTGCCCTAGGCCACGTGCTCAGCCCGAGAGGATTCTGGGAGCCCACCCAGAGCCACGTAGGACAGTCCAGTCTGGTCACCTGGCCAGGGGACCCCGTGCCCGACCTTCTGGGACCCCAGGCCCGCCCCGCAAGCCTGTTCTGGGGTGCGCTGACGTTCCTCCCGCCGGCCTGAGGACGCGGGGTGCTGGGCCCTTCGCAGGCACCCAGACATGACTCCGGCCTGGCCCCCAGCGCCGGCAGAGCAGTGAGGACCCCGCGTCACCCTGTGCACCCCCCACGCGTCCCAGGATGACCCTGAGGGAGACGATGCTGCCCGGCGCCTTGCTGGCCCTATGCTGGGGGCCCCTCCTGGCCAGCGCCCAAGGTGAGCCCCCCCAGCTCCCGCCTGGCCCCTCTAGGTCCCCAGGAAGCTCCCAGACCCCAGACCCCTACCCCTCTCCCTCCCACCTCCCTCCTCCCTCCTCTGTCCCTCACCATCCCCCCCTCCTATTTCCCGCCAGTTCCGCTCTCTCTGACTCTGGGACCTCCCTCCCCTTGGGTGCCATTCAAAGCCCCCAATCCCAAACTGACTCTTCCAGAACCTTCTGTGTGCCACACCCCCATCCCATTACTTTCACGTTCTCATCTTCCTGCATTAAGTCAGCCTGGGGCCCCCTCCCGGCCCAACCCCCAACACCCCCTTCTGCTTGGCAGTGGGTGCCGGCGACGGGGTCCTGAGTCACTGAGCCCAGGGACCTCGGACAACCTCGGTCCCACATCCCCTTCCCCACCCCCACCCCCGGGGACCCCCTAGCAGAGCGGGGGCTCGGGTGTTGCCCCGGAGGTGAGGCAGAGGCGCCCCCAGGCTCCCGGGGGTCCAGACCCACCAGGGAGGGTCCAGCGGGGTTCAGGGGGTGCTGAGAGGAGTCTAGAAGTCGGCGTGTGCCCCAAAGAAGGTGTCCACCCCAGGAGCCCCCTAGCAGGACCCCACCCTGGCCCCTGGGGGTTCCGCCCGGCAGCCACACGCGGCCAGGACCAGGAGGGGCGGGGGCGGGGGCGGGGCTGGTGGGGCCAGGAGTGACCGGCGGGTCCCTGCAGGGCAGTCCCCGCTGCAGAGTCTCCGCTGCTACAACGACTACACCAGCCGCATCCGGTGCCGCTGGGCCGAGTCCCCCGGGGCCCGCAGCCTCCTCGGCCTCACCCTCCTGCGCAGGCTCAACGCGTGAGTGGACACGGGGGGCGGGACTGGGGCGTGGGGCAGGGGGTCAGCGGGGCTCTCATTTGCCCCCTCCTGCCCAGACCGCCCCCCTCGGCCTTCCCAACAGGCCCCTTCGGCCCAAACCCCCCAACCCAGATCTGGGCTCTGTCCCCGCAGTCCCACCTCCCACCACTGGGGGACGCTGTCTGCGGCCCAGTCAAACATTCCGAGGGTCTGGTTGATGCTTCCCGGCTCGCCCACCCTTCAGCCCCTCCTCGCTCAGCCCCATCTATCAGCAAGCGCAGAGAGCGTGTGGTCGGCCCATGCTTCGAGCCACATGCAGATCAGGAATGTTCCAGAAGCACGTCCACCAATGCCCTCCAGTCGGCCTGCAGCCCAGCCCAGCTCCCCTGTGCTTCGGCCCAAACACAAGAGTTCGTCCCCGACCCAAACTCCCTAAATCTTTCCAAGCTCTGGGCTTCCCAGCACCTCGGCTCAACCATTACCCTCCTACCCACCACTCAACACTCCCTGGTCCCCCACTTCCTGTCACCCCACAACTCAACCATTGCCTGCCCACCACAGGGCCTTGGCACATGCTTTTCCCAGAAAGGACCCGAAGTCTCCTTTGCCCGAGTCCCACGGCTCTCCCTCCCTCACCCCCTTCATATTTCCGCTCAAATGTCCTAGTTTCTACCAACCTGCCTGCCCTCACCCCACATCTCATTTCAGGAGGCCCTGTGGGCTCCCAACCTCCGTTGCTGGTTGGCAACTACTCAGTCCCAGTACTTTCCTTTTCACTCAGCATATTTTCTCACGCCCGGCCATGCTCAGGGAACGCTCTGACGCTCAGAACTTGGGGGGGTCCCTCCCAGCAGTCCTGGGGGGGGAATCAGACAGTGCTGGGAATCGAACCTGGGCCCCCACAAGCAGAGCCTGTGCACTCACCCTCTGAACCCTCTGCCCAGCCCTCGAGGTGGTATGATTGGTGGTGGAGCCTCATCCAACAGTGCTCAGGGATCACCCCTGGCAGTCTCAGGAGCGGGCAGGCCGAATGCGAGCTCCTGGTTAACCCTGCCGCCCCCTGGCAGTGACCCCCCGCAGCCCGTGTCCTGTGAGCAGAGCGATGACCTGTCCTGGACGGGGGCCCCGTGCCCAGGCTGTGTGTCCCGAGAGTGTGAGATCCCTCGCAAGCTGTTCGTCCTGGCCGACTACGACTACTTCTCCTTCCAGCCCAACAGGCCGCTGGGCGCGCAGCTCAACGTGACCCTGGCCCAGCACGGTGAGACGGGGTCCCCGGGCCGGGCCGGGCCGGGAGGTTCCAAGAACAGGGGCCTGGGGTCCGCTCAGGGCAAGTATTCCTAAGACGCTGTCTCTCCAGATCAACATAAGGAAGTCGGGGGCTTCTCCCAGAAAGGGGCTGTCCCCTCCTCCAAGCCGCAAGCCTCAGCCCCTTGTGTTCTCTTTCTTAACCCCAGAACCCTGAGAAGTCGCTGGGGGGTGGGGGGAGGGGGGCGGGTTGGGGAAGGGGGTCAAAGTGAAGTTAAAAAATAAAGATTGTGGGGGGCTTGGAGTGATAGCACAGCGGGGAGGGCGTTTGCCTTGCACACAGCCGACCTGGGTTCGATTCCCAGCATCCCATATGGTCCCCTGAGCACTGCCAAGACTGATTCCTGAGTGCAGAGCCAGGAGTAACCCCTGTGCATCGCTGGGTGTGACCCAAAAAGAAAAAAAAAAGATTGTGCAGCTGGAGCAATGGCGATGGTACAACCTTGCACCCCAACAACCCAGATTCAGCCCCTGGCACCCCATATGCCCCCCCCAAGCACCGCCAGGAGTGATTCCTGAAGGTGGAGCCAGGAGTTACCCCTGAGCATCTCCAGGTGCGGTCCCAAACCAAAGAGAAAAGGAGAGAGAGAGAGAGAGAGAGAGAGAGAGAGAGAGAGAGAGAGAGAGAGAGAGACAGAGACAGAGAGAGAGAGAGAGATTGCAGAAAGTTTTATTTAATGCAAAGATCCAACCGGGCCACCCACAAGTTCCTTCCAGTTCCTTCCCAGGTGGAGGAGAGGAACAAAAGCAAAGAGGCCAGCCTGGAGAGGCAATTATTCTAGAAGGTGCGGGAGACGGAGCCTTTTGGGATGCTCGGAAGGCAGGTGAAGCCAGGTGTGCGGCGAGAGAAACGCGGGCCACGGCGCCCTCTGCTGGCAGGAGGCCGCAAGGCAGCGTCACGGACCCTCAGTCCTGCACGCTGCCTGGTGCAGGGGTTCTGGGTCAGGTGCACGTTCTAGAGCCAGAAGGTTGCAGGCGAGCCGGTCAGTCTCAGAGGGCGCCCTCAGGCTGCGGTGCAGGTACTTGCATTACTCAGCCCCTCACGAGCCCTCTCCCCACCCCTGCAGTGCAGCCCCCGACACCCACGGACCTCCAGGTCAGTGCTGACCGGGACAGTTTCCTGCTAACCTGGAACATGACGCAGAGCCCCTGGCTGTCAAACCTGCAGTTCGAGGTGGCATACCGGCGGCTCCAGGACTCCTGGGAGGTAGGAAGCCCCTGGGCACTGGCGCCCTGAGCCCAGGGACCCCCTGCACACAGCACCTGCTCCAACCGCCTTCTCCGCAGGACGCCTCCACCATCTATGCCAGCTCCTCCCGCGCGGTCCTGGCACGCCAGCTCCTGCCCCCTGGCACCTACCTGGCCCGAGTGCGCGCCCAGCTGGCCCCCGGCTCGGGGTTCTCCGGACAGCCCAGCAGGTGGAGTGCCGAGGTGCCCTGGGACTCTCCATTCGGTAAGGAGGCAACAGGGCCAAGCCCCCGGGGGACAGTCCCTCCACTCAACCACCAGCTGGGAGGCCTCACTACGGGGTTCCAGAATCTTCCATGCCCCTTCCCTGGCCGGGCCGTGACCTCGACCCTGGTGCTGCCAGGACAATGACACAGTCCGTGCAATCGTATCACTCATGCTAAGCCCCCGACACGGAAACTCAGCCCCGAGCTCCCCAGAAGTCAGTCTCTGCCCTGTCCAGACCCCGCGGGCAGGCCCGGGCTGCAGCCGGACCCCAAAGCCCGGGAGCGGGATGCCCCCGGGGGGCAGGGCCGGGGTGGGCCCGGGTGCAGGCCTCGGTCTCCCCGCAGGCGACGCGGCGCAGCCCCACAATCTGCAGTGCCTGTTCGACGGGGCGCACGCGCTGCGCTGCTCCTGGGACGTGCACTCCGAGGTGGCCCGCTCCCTGCCCTTCTCCCTCTTCTACACACCCAGCCCCGGCGCCGCGTGAGTGTGCCCCGCGCCACCTCCTGCAGGCCCGGGTGGGGGGGGGGGGGGGGTGGCCCCCGCCCCGCACCCTCACTCCCGGCTCCCCAGGGAGGAGGAGTGCGCCCCCGTGTGGCGGGAGCCGCGCGGCAGCGGCTACACCCGGCACCGCTGCGAGATCCGCGTGCCCGCGCCCGAGCCCCAGAGCCGGTACACGGTGTCCGTGAGGCCCCGCGGCGAGGAGAAGCTCATCAAGAGCTCGAACAACAGTGAGTGCGGCCCGGGCGCTGCAGGCGCGTGCTTGCGTGTGTGCGCGCGCGTCTGTGTGCATGCGTGCGTGTATACATGCGTGCCTGTGTGTGTGCACGTGTGTACGCGCACGCACGTGAACATGCGTGCTCGTGTGCGCGCCTGCGTGTACATGCATGTGCATGACTATGTGCACCTGCATGTATGTATACACGTGTGCTTGTCTGTACGCTTGTGCGTGTGTGTGTTGTTTGTATACATGCTTGCCTACGTGTGTGCATGTGTGTACATGCACGTATGTATACATGTGTGCTTGTCTGCACACATGTGTGCCTATGTGTGTGCGTGAGTGTACATGCATGTGTGTACATTCCTTGTGTGCGTGCGTGTGTGTATACATGCATGCCTGTGTGTGCATGTGTGTACACGCATGCACGTGAACATGCGTGCTTGTGTGCGCACCTGCGTGTACATGCATGTGCATGACTATGTGCACATGCATATATGTATACACGTGTGCTTGTCTGTATGCTTGTGCGTGTGTATATGTGTGTATACATGCTTGCCTACGTGTGTACATGTGTGTACATGCACGTATATATACATGTGTGCTTGTCTGCATGCATGTGCGTGTGTGTATACATGTGTGTGTGCGTGTGTGTGCGTGTACGTGCATGTGTGTACATGCCTTGTGTGCGTGTGTGCATGCGCGCATGCGTGTGTGTGCGTGCATGAGTGCATGTGTGTGCACGTGCTTAAGTCTGTGTGTCTGCTTTATGCACACATAGATTGTGTACATGTGTATGCATGTGTGTGTTTGTGTGTGTATGTGTGGTGGGTGTGTCTGTATGTCATGTGCATGTGTGTATCTGCGGATTGCAGGTATAGTGTGTGAGGTCATGCACTGACGTGTTGGTGAGTGTGCATGCATTTGTGCTCTCATGTGTTTGTACGGAGTGCATTTGTGCTTATGCATATGCATGCGTGTAGACGTGTATGTGTGTGGGCATGTATGTGTTTTTGTTACAGTGTAAATGTGGCTGTGTGTTTGCACGTGTGCATATGTGTGTGTGCCTGTGCTGGGGGCCTGCCATGGCCTGGTTCATGTGTGTCCCATGTGAATGCAGGGCTCCTCACGGTCCAGTCTCCGGGGCGTCACTGTCCCCCACACAGTCCATGGGCAGGGCCCCTTCCAGTGTCTTGTTGAAGTAGGAAAAACCGGGGTACAGCGGTGCAGGAGCAGAGGGGGAGGAGGAGGAGAAGGACGGGGTTCCTCGAGAGAGCCCTCTCCGGCCCGCAGGACCACTGCCCACAGACATTGGGCCTGCAGCTTCTGGCCCTCCTGCCAGGCTGCAGTGTGGGGCCCGGCGGGTGTTTCTAGCCATCAGCAGCGCTGAAGGCTGAACTGCTTTGGCCGAGGAGGACGCGGGCACGGGCTAGTCCCCCGCAAGACCGTCCCGGACTTCTGCTCCGCAGTGGGGACCCCGCCTGACTTGTGGTGGCGAGGGTGGTGTGGACCTTTTCCTGGGCCCCTGGGTCAGGGCCCTCCATCCCCACACGGGCCTCTGTGCCTGCCCGCTGCGGACCGGTCCCACCTGCCCCTCCCTCCGCAGCTGGGGGGAGTCACACAGAAGGGCACCGGGACACGCTCCATGTTCCTCACACGCAGATGCTGCTCTAGCAGGGAGACGCGAGCGGGGCTCGCCCTGGGGCCGGCGCCCCTAGAAGTCACTCTCCCTCATCCCGGCCAGGCGCGTCTGAGCATCCCCAGAGATGCCGGGGCAGGGCAGTGCCGCTGTGTGTTGGGGTGCAGAGGGGCCCTGGGGGGCATCCCAGGGAGCAGGATGGAGACGAGGCCCCTGAATGTCCCCGCTCCAGTCCAGATAGCCCGGCCGACCCTGAGCGTGACCAAGGTGGGGGACAGCTACAGCCTGAACTGGACGACGGAGAGGATGGAGTACGAGCACATCGGCTGGACCTTCCAGGTCCAGTACAAGAGCAAAGAGGCCTCGTGGGAGGTGAGGGTTCGCAAGGAGCACTCAGGAGAGAGTCCTGCGGGCACCTGGGTCCCAGCCACGGACCCCTCAGGACAGGTCCCTGGAAGTCAGAGAGCCCGACGCTGTGCGGGCGGTGAAGGTGCTTAACCTCAGTGAGGTCATGTGACTCGGCTGAGCCCACCAGGGCTTACCCCGAGTGACCAAGGGGCAGTGATGTCCAGAGGCAGGGGCTGAGGGCCTGAGGGGTGACGGGTCCGCAAAGCCAAGAAGTCCCAGGAACATTTTCCCAGAAGATTTGCACCCTGGACGCACAGGACTCAGCCACTGAACAGACTTGCTCTCGGTTAGAGCTGCAGAGCCCTGGCCCGGGGCCCGTCATCTCTTCTTCCAGGCAGCCCTCTATGGTTGTGGGTGCAACCACAGGGCCCAGCTCAGAAACCTAGAACCAGTCTCGGAGCTTTGGGGTAGGACTGCGGAAACTGAGGCAGGGAGAGGCGGCGCAGCCCTGAGGTTCACTGCAGGCGGCTGCAGTGGGCTGAAGTTCAGTGCCAGGCATCCTGCCCTGCTCTCCTCGGAGGGCCGCATGGGGGGCCCGGCTGCCCCCAGGGAGCGGGGGCCGAGGGGTCTCCCAGAGGGCGGGGCGGGGCGCTGCTCAGGGCCGGGTCACAGAGTCGGCCTGTGTCGCCAAGCCCAAGCTATCCCTCTGGGGCTGCAGGGAGGCTCCTGGGGGTGACACAGGTCCAGCCCTTGGGGTCCTGCAGAGCTGGGGCTGAGGGGGTCACGCCCTTCATCCCCAGGACACAGCATCGGAGTCCCTCCGGAACGCACACAGCATGTCCCTGCCCCGGCTGGAGCCCGGCACCCGCTACCAGGCCCGGGTCAGGGTCAAGCCCACCAACGGCGGCTACGACGGAGTCTGGAGCGATTGGAGCAAAGAGAGCGTCTGGGACACTGAGTGGGGTACGTCTTCCCCCCCCCCCCCGGGGGTACATCCCAGAGCGTGGAGACGGGACCACCCCCGCCCTGAGTATCTTGCCCTCGAAGGAAAACGAGGCAGCGAGCACAGCGGGGGGCAGGTCTCACCGCCAACCTCCCTTTCGCTGGCGCTTTGTCTCTTGTGATATGACCTGGGGCAGCCACTGCCCAGTGACCACTCGGCCGGCGGGTCCCGTGCCCATGGCAGGAGCCCAGATGAACCCAGAACTGGAGGTCGTGTGCACCTTCCGGCTCCCCCATCTTCCTACTCCTGCTCCTCCTATGCCTCCCTGCAGCCCTGCACCAGCAGGGACCAGAAGGAGGAGGGGGTGAGGGGAGAGGAGCCCTTCGGACCCCAGCCCACCCAGTGCAGTGCTGGAGGCCCCCCACTGGGCCTGCTCGTTCTTTCACCCACATCTTTGCTCTTGAGGCCTCAGACCCTGCTCAGCTCCTCCAGGTCTCAAATATGTGCTGCCTCCTTCAGGAAGTCCCCAGGATTGCCTCAGCCTACAACCACTGCTCCCCCCAGGCTTCCCGGAGCCTGCCACATGCACAGACTCACCACATGCACACCCATAGAGACACACGCTTTCCATGTGGGTACGTCCACACACAAATACACACACCCACATAGACCCGCACTTCACCCAGATAGTCACACATACACACAGACGCACACAAGCACCTCGGCCATACATGTGTGCGTGTACCCAGCACATGCACACACGTGTGCAGCCTCTGAGCCCCGTGTCTCCCTCTCCCAAGCACTGGGCATTGGGGGGGTGCTCAGCCCGCCCGCAGACCGCCCCCCCCCACACACACACTGATGCTGGTTCCCTCCCGGCTCACAGCGCTGCCCACCTGGGGCCTGGTCCTCGTCCTGGTCTTCCTCACCCTGGCCTTGGTGCCCGCCCTGCGCTTCTGCGGCGTCTACGGGTACAGGTGAGCGGCACCACGGGCGGGCAGGCGGGGCTGCGGGACCCAGGAGCCTCAGTTTCCCCTCTGTGCATGAGCCTGACCCCTACTCCGGCCGCGCTGCAGGCTAAACCGGAAGTGGGAGGAGAAAATCCCGAACCCGGCCAAGAGCCTCCTGTTCCAGGTAGGGGCCCAAGGGGGGCTCCTGGCCCCACACGGGCCCGGGAGTCGGGGCGGGGGGGCGGGGCCAGGGAGCCCCTGAGGGTCTGGGGGTGCCGGGAGGAACAGCCTCTGAGCAGAAGGTCTGTGGGTGCAGACGGGACCCCCGAGGGGGAGGCAGGCAGCCCCTGTGCTGGGGGCTCAGATGAGCAGGGCCCCCCAGTCAAATACCCCCTCCGCAGGACCCCCGACACTATTGCCCTTCTCCTTCCAGAACGGGGGTGCCGGGCTGCGGCTCCCAGCCAACCGGCGACCCCCACACCCGGGGACGGGACCCGGCCAGCTCTCCCCGCTACAGGGGTGAGTGTGTGGTGGTCGTGGGGGCTGGGGGCAGGCGTGGGGAGCCGGGAGAGACCCTGGGGGCATCTGCTGGACCGGGGATCCCGGGTGGGGTCTGCACGGAAGCAAAGGGCCCCCCCAGAGGGAGGGTGGGCGGAGGGGGAGGGTCTGCACAGCTGCCCAGGCCCTGCCGGGTACAGCCTGGTGCTCTAGGGGTGGTGGGGGCCGCCCTGCCCTCAGGAGCAGCCGGTAAGAGCAAGAAGGGGGGGATGGGCAGGCCGGGTGGGCTGTGGTCCAGGGGCAGAGTGAGCCCCCAGCACCCCAGTCACCCCGCGCGCCCCCCCAGCCTGGAGCCAGCAGGCCTGTTGGCTGGTCCTGCCAGGAGACCCCAGCCCCTGGGGCACTGCCAAGGGGGCCCCAAAAACTGTACCAGGAATGAGGACTGAGCCCCCAGGGGGGGCCAGGGTCCCACTCCGCACCTCCCTCCCCACAGGGTGATTTCTGGAGACTTGGGGCGCAGCGAGGTGTCACCCCTCACCACCGAGGACCCAAGAGGCGCCCGGGAGGCGCCCGCCGAACCGGCCCCCGGGATCCCCGAGAGCCCCGGGACCCCTGAGAGCCTCCGGCCGCTCGGCCTGCACTTCAACGGCCCCTACCTGGGGCAGCCTCACAGTCGCTCACTGCCCAGCCTCGGGGACCTTCCAGCGCCCCCCCCATCTGCGGCCGGCAGGGTCCTTGGACTATCTGTGTCTGCCCCCCGGGGGGCAGGGACAGTCGGGGCCCTCGCTGGGGCCAGGGGCTTCCCCGCCGGACAGTCGCCCTGCGGTGGCCCCGGAGGACAGGCAACCGGCCCCCGATTATGTCACGGGCGCACAGCTGACCCTCTGTCCTCCCCCGGGGGTCCCCGCCTCAGACCCAGCCCCCCGCCTCAGTCCCAGCCCGCCCGGGGGTGGCCCCCGTGAAGCCTGGGCTCGGAGACTACGTGGAGCTCCCGCCGGCCTCAGGCCATGCTCCGGGGTCCCCCCTGCTCAATCCCAGTCCCCCGGGCCCTGGGGAGCCCTGCCCCGCGCCCCCACACCCCGAAGAGCTGCTGGTGCTGCAGCAGGTGGGCGACTACTGCTTCCTGCCAGACCTGGCCCCGGCCGCCCCACCCGCGCCCAGGTCGGATGCAGATGCAGAGGACCAGGCTGTCCCCAGCAAGAAGCCGCAGGGCCCCCCCACGCCCCAGCTGCCGGCCATCCAGCTCTTCAAGGCCCTGAAGCAGCAGGACTACCTGGCCCTGCCCGTCTGGGACGGTGGCAGGCTGGAGGAGGGGCACTGAGGCACGGAGCCCGCACCCCAATATGGTCCGGGAGATCCTCCTCCGTCAGCAGCTCCTTCCCTTCCGCTCTCTTTGTCCTTCTTCTCTTCCTCTCCATCTCCCTCTCCTCCCTCTCTCTTTCCCTCTCCCTCTCTCCTTCTCCCTCCCCTCCCTCTCTCCCTCTCCTCTCTCTCCCTCTTTCTCTCCCTCCCTCTTTCCTCTCTCTCCCTCTCTCCTCTCTCTCTCTCTCTCACCCTCCCTCTCTCTCTCTCACTCTCCCTTTCCCCCCTCTCTGTCTCGCTGTCTCGCTGTCTCGTTCTCTGTCTCTCTCTCTGTCTCTGTCTCTCTCTCTCTCTCTCTCTCTCTCTCTCTCTCTCTCACACACACACACTCACACACACACACACACACACACACACACACACACACGTCTTTTCCTCCAAGTTCCCCTGCTGCCAGGTCTGACCTCTTAGAACCTTCCAGAACTCCTTGCCTTCTTTTCTTGCTCTTCTCTCCCTCCTCATCCACGAATGTACCCTCCATGAGACTCGGGCTCTGCACCAAGACCCCACGGCCACGCCAGCAGCCCCTCTCAGACTCATGTCCCGCCCGACCTCAGCAGGCCCTGCGCAGGGGTGAGGTGTGCGGGCAGGGCCTGTCAAGGCCTTGGGGCAGGAGGGGGCAGGGGGCCGCTGGGGCAGCCTCAGGGCGCTGCAAGGGGCAGCTCCCCGCTCAGGGAGAAGGATCTAGAATCCGGGACTGGAGCGATGGGACCGCGGGGAAGGTGTTTGCCTGGCACGTGGCCAGCCCAGGCCCAATCCCCCGCCCCCCAGCGTTCCATAAAGTCCCCGAGCACCGCCAGGAGGATCCCCTGAGCATCGTCAGAGGTGCTTCCCCCCCCAAAAAAAGATCTAGAACCCACATCCAGGCTACGACAGTTAGGGGCAGCGGCCCCATCAGAGAAAAGGGGGTGCTGGGAGGTGGCTGGGTGGTCAGGGGCGCGCGTTCTGGGACCAGGCTCTGTCCCTGGGTGCCACCGATGTGGTCAAGGATGCGCCTGAGGCCATGGGGGAGGGCCGAGAGGGGCAGCCCAGAGACCCTGTGAGTCCCGCTGGGGTGGCCCAGGTACCCCGCACTGCCTCCTCGACTCCCGCTCAGCCCCGCAGGCCCAGCGGCGAGGAGCCTTGGAGGGGCCCTGCCCGCTAAGCCATGCTCGGAGCCCACCCGGCCCCCTCGAGGAGAAAGGGCACTGAGCAAAGGAGCCTGCACTCTGGGGCCTTTGGCCAGACGGTAGCTGCCCCCCCCCCCCGAAAGACCCCCCACCCCGGCTGGGCCCCCGCCTGGAACCCAGGAACACAGTGGCGAGTTTGAGTCTCTGCCTCTCGGGCGCCAGAGAAGGCCTGGAACTCCGGGGACCCAGGGACCCCCGCCTCACCTGCCTGCCACTGGGCTCCCCGGGTGGGGCACGCCCCACCTGTGAGTGCTCGCCTGGGGGTGCTCACCGTTTTCCCGATGACCTGCGGAGGGGAGGCGCGGGGCCGTGGGATGGAGCCCTGGCCTGCCCGCCAGGGTGCGATGTGTCCACTGTGCGTGCGGTCGAATAAAGGACGGGCTCCCCCTGTGTGCCCCAGACAAGCTGGCCCCTGAGAATTTGTTTGGGCTCCCTACAGGCCTTGGGGCTTGTGCTGGGATGTGCTTGCCAAGTGACTGTGTGAGTGTGTGTGTGTGTGTGTGTGTGAGAGAGAGAGAGAGAGAGAGAAAGAGCACGTGTGTGAGCATGTGTGTATGTGTATGTTTGTGTGTGAGCATGTGTGTTTGTGTATTTGTGTGTTTGCATATTTGTGTGTTTGTCTGTGGTGTGTATTTGTGTGTGAGTGTGTGTGCGTGTGATTGCAAGTTTGTGTGTGTTTGTGTGAGTGTCTGTGTATAGGTGAGCCTGCGTGTGTATGTGTGTGTCTGTGAGTGTGACTGTGTGTCTCTGTGTGAGCGTGTATGCATATGTGTGTGTCTGTGAGTGTGAGTGTGTGAGTGAGTGTGTGTCTGTATGTGTGTCTGTGTGAGTGTGAGTGTGTGTGTCTGTGTATCTGTGTGGGGAGGGCTGGGGTGCTTCCTGTGCCTGAGGGCTTGCAGAACCCTCCATCTGTCTTCTTTCTAGCTCCAAGCCCCAGCACTGGACCCCCACTCTGTTCTCACAGCTTCTAGACTTTCCTTTGTGTTGAGGGGCCCATGTGGGTGGGAGTGGGGAAACCTGGTGGGGTAGGGGGAGAAGTTTCTCCGTTCAGCCCCAAAGCAGCCCCTGAGCCCCAGGAGCACTCCCGGCCCGCAGGGGAGGGGCAGGGAGAGAGGACCCGGGAAGAGGAGGGCGGGGACTTTGGTCCAAGACTGATTGGCCCTCAGGGGACAGGAGGCGGAGCCTTGTGCCCTGGACCTTGGCTTAGGCCCAGGGGACCAGCCTGGAGCCGGGGCCAAGCGAGGGGAGGGCGGACACAGTGCTCCACCCCCAGCCCCACGTACCCCCGAGCACTGTCAGGAGAGACCTCTGAGCACTAAGCCCGGGGCAGCAGTGAGCACCCCTGCTGAGCCTCTGGGAATGTGAAGGAAGGAAGAGGATGCCCTGGATGGGCGGGGGGCGGAGGATTACCCCCCAGTCAGTGCGGAGGAGGGGAGTGTGCAGGAAGGGGGTTTACCAAGGAACTGTGGGCCGCCTATGAGGGCAGCAGCTTTGGGCAGAGTTTGCATGCCGGGTGCGTGCAATGAGGTGAATGAGCCTCTCCCGGAGGGCGCGAACAGTCTTAGCAGGTCCCCAGAGAGCGTCCTCGCCTTCTCTCCTCTCAGTCCCCAGCTCCCCTGACGGGCGCTGCAAAAGGAAGGAGGAAGGAGATGTGGAAGCTACCAGAGCTGCCTCCTCCACACGGCCCCCCACCCCCCGGCAAGGGGGTCTCCGAAGGGCAGCAGGTGGGCCCCGAGGCAGGTCCCGACTCACCTGCGAGCCGCCACCAGCAGCATCTTGATCTGCGAAAACCAAATGAAGCCGTAACAGCAGGGGCCTGAGGTTTCCTAGAATTTTCTAGAAACCTGCAAGACATCTCCCCGACCCCAGGGGGGACCGAGACCCTGACCCAAGCCCCCCGCCCCACCCTCACTGCTTCTAGGCACGACCCCTGACCTCCCTTACCTGGGAAACCGATGGTTCCTCCTTGTGCCCCTACAGACACGCGTCAGTGTTGGTCTCTGGCCTCTCTGTGGGGTTCCAGCCTGACAGCATTGTTCTCTGGGTCCCTCAGAAGGGCCACGGGATGAGGAGGGACTTCATCTTCCTCCCGAGTCACACCCACGGTGCCCAGAAGTAACTCCCACTCTCAGGATCAGCGGTCACTCCTGGAGGTGCTCAGGGGACCCTCTAGGGTTCTGGGGATCGAACCCGGGTCTGCCGCACCCTCCCTTTTTTTTTTTTTCGCTTTTTGGGTCACACCCGGTGATGCACAGGGGTTATTCCTGGCTCTGCTCTCAGGAATTACCCCTGGTGGTGCTAGGGGACCCTATAGGATGCTGGGAATCGAACCTGGGTCGGCCGCGTGCAAGGCAAACGCCCTCCCCGCTGTGCTGTGGTTCAGCCCTTTGAGCTGCCCGCCTGGTCCTGTTGGGAAGGAGCCGAGAGGGCCCCAGCAGAGCCTGCGCCAAACGCGAGGTGACAAACACGTCTCGGGACATCCCAGTTCCCCCAAGCCCGCCCCTCAGGGAAAGGCTCCCCCAAAGGTCTGTCCTACCTCGGTGACATCATGCCTCTGGTCTGGGCTCTGTCACCCCCAAGTCAGGCAGAGTGACCCAGACAAGGAGGACCATTCAAGGGTGGTGGCGACCGAGGAGAGGGGATGGAGTTCGGACACGTCTCGGTGGCTGCCACCTGGGGAGGGTGTGAGGGGTGGGCCGGGAGGAGGGGCTGGCTTCATCTGGGGTGCTACGATCTGTACCGGAAGGAAGAGAAACTACCGCCCGCCCGCCTGTCCTCCACTTACCCCGGGGGTGGGGGATGGTCCCATAAAAGCATTCGGAGTTGGAAAGCGCCCAAGTTGAAGAGCTGTTTGTGTGTTTGCTTGGAGGGCCACACCTGGTGGTGCTCAGGGCGTCCTCCTGCGACTCACTCCAGTGCTCGGGACCTACTGTACCATCTCTCTCGACCATGTTAATCTTTAGAATGTGTGTGTGTGCGCACGTGTGTGTGCATGTACGCATGTGTGCGTGTGTGTATGTGCGTGCATGTGCATGTGTGTGTGCGTGTGCATGTGTGTGCATTTGTGTGCATGTGTGAGCACGCATGTGTGCACATGTGTGCGCATGTGTGCATGTGTGTGCGTGTGTGTGCATGTGTGTGCATGTGTGCATGTGTGTGTGCATGTATGCATGTGTGTGCGTGTGCGTGTGTGTGCATGTGTGCATGTGCGTGTGTGTGCATGTTGTGCATGTGTGAGCATACATGTGTGTGCGCGTGTGTGTGTGGGCATGTGTGTGCGTGTACATGTGTGTACATGTGTGTGCGTGTGTGTGCATGCACGCGCATGTGTGTGTGTGTGCCCGCACACACTTGCTATCTTTCAGGATGGGGGACTATGGGAGGCCAAGTTAAAAAAATCAAACCCTCACAAAGCACCCCTTTGCAATCTTGAATTGAGAGTTTTGAGGAAGCTGTCAAGGGGTGTGTATTTTAAGCATCTCACGCTCCCTCGACTGAGCTAGCTGGGTGCTTAAAATATCACGAATTTTTAAATTCCGGCATAATCAGAAGGAGACCGGGGTGTCTGCCTTCAGCGCCCCCCCCACCCCCCGCCCATGCACACAGGGTTTGGAGTCTGAAAAGCCTCACTTCTGGTGGAGCTGAAGTCTCCCGGACATCATTCTGAACCGTCATCAATTTTCCTGAATTGGAGCATTTCACCAAAGCAAAGGTGCACAAGTATTTCGGGGGGGAGGGGGGAAATCCAAAAATAAAACCTTCTTTCAAGAATCTTGATACGAGCAGGAAAGGGTAAGTAAAATCTTCCACCGAGCCTCAAGGGAGCTGGTGAAATTCCCCAGCGGTTGCCGAGCACTGGAGTGAGTCACAGGAGGAAGCCCTGAGCACCACCAGGTGTGGCCTCAAACACGCGCACAAACAGCTCTTCACT